AAACCTGGCAGACACCACCTTAACCAAGTGATGATGGTTAACATCACCAGTGATAATGTAATGCCATGAGAACACTTCAACTCTGTGGTATTCAATCCCAGAATAGTGAGAAAACATCAGACAAACCCAAATTCATAGACATGACGACTAAATGCAATGTGGTATCCTTGACTGGATCCTAGAACAGAAAAGGTAATTAGTAGAAAAAAAGGGAAAAGCAAATAATGTCTGTAGTTAACAGTATTTTGTATCAATGTTAATAGTTCTGACAAACATACAGGGTTAAGTAAAAATATTAGGGGAAGCTGGATGAAGAGCACATGAGAAATCTGCATTATCTTTGCATGGTCTCATCAAAATTATTCCAAAATAAAAAGCTTATTTAAAAAATGCAATTGCATGGAGTAGTTTTGATATTAAGGATAAACCTTCTATATCTGTCTACATTGTTTCTTGTTTTAATTTTAAAGCTAAAATTGAACTGTAAATAATATTACAAAATCTACCCTTATCTACAGTAACTACTGGGAAAGACACCTGGAAACTACTGGATTGCTGAGATGATTCCTACTAATTTTTAAGGAATGTTGGAAAGAGTCACTATACAAAAAGTATGTAATGAAGAAAGAGCATAATTTGAGGCTAGAAGATCCCTATCACAGAGAGACCAGCACATTACAGTTTGAACATCCCTAATACAAAAATCTAAAATGCTCCATAATCTGAAACTTTTTGAATGCTACATGACACCACAAGTGGAAAATTCCACACCTGACTCCATGTGACAGGTTAAGTATTTCAGGCACAAAATTATTCAAAATATTGTATAAAATTACCTTCAGGCTATGTGTATAAGGTGTATATGGAACATAAATGTATTTTGTGTTTAGACTTGGGTCCCATCATCAAGATATTCTTGTTACGTATGTACAAATACTTCAAAATAAAAAAAAAAAATCCAAAATCCCAAACACTTCTGGTCCTGAGCATTTCAGATAAGAGATACTTGACCTGTATTATAAAATGACTATTAAATACACTTATCCCTAAGACCTGAGATAACAACACTCAGACTCGAGGAATTTAGATTACAGCAAAGTGGGAGAAATAAGTAGGAACAAAGAGATCCTGGGATGCTCTAAACAGCAAGGGAACAAGAGAACCAGGAGATAAATGAGGAAGCATGAAAAAGACCTCACATCACCTCTGGATCTGCAAAAGGAGAGGGGAAAAGCATCCTCTTACATTTTCCTCTTGCATTACGCTGTCCTTGCTACCAACAATAGAATTTGGTATCATCAGTTAATTACAAAGATCTAAATAAGATTTATTCGAAGGCCTGAGACTCTTTCATTTACAACACTGTTTTTACAGATAAGTATTTTCAAGATTCCAGACCATCTCCTTACAAGTGAACTTTGGAAACTAATATATCCGTTAATCAGAGACTGCCTGTGACAATTTACAGCAGCTAGGGACCTACAACTTCACATAATTTTGAACAAACCATTAAGGTTATTTATGATATTCATATTATTAAAACAAATTGCAAATATATATTTTTAGTATCACTAGTTGCAATATTTTTAATTTAAAGATTTTTAAATATAATACATTTTCAGAGAAAATTGTTTTCTAAAGAATTCTTACAAGCAAAGGGGAATTAAATATAAGATCAGATGTTATCTATAAAAACTGGTTAAAACTAATTTAATCATAAGAAGTAAAAATATAAAGACAAAAAAGAAAAATCAAATATCACAAGTACATTTCTTCTTTTCTACAAAATTCTTCAATTATATTCACTATTATCACAGAAACCATAAAAACAGTGCAAAATATAAGCTATGCCTATGCATAATCTGTGATACTTGTTGATCCAGATGTTTCTAACAAGAATGAAAACAAAACAGTCCTCAAACTAGAAGGTTATACTTTCTAAAATGTATGCCCTTAAAATGTACAAATGTTTGGCAGAGACTAAAAGGTAAAATACATTTAAAAAATAAAAGTATAAAGAACGGTCTACCCAATATTAAAAATTAGCTTCAAGGGAGGAAAAAAATGTAACAAAACTTCTAAAGATAGCTTATATTTGACTTGTATAGCATTTTACCATTTACACAAATATCTTTTTAAGCTTTACAACCCTGTGAGGTAGGTAGGAAGGTATTATTATATCAACTTTACAGATGCAAAGACCTAAGGTCAGAAAGATTGTCATTTACAAAGTTATGTGGTGAGAAAAAAGCACAGCAAGGCACGGAACTCAGTTACTGGACTTCAAAACTGACTCTTTCCCCAATATACTTAGTGAAACAACTAAAACAAAATAAACCCGGGAGAGGAGTGTATATATATATTCATAGACACGCACACACACATATGCCTCCTCTTATAGAAATTACGTTCCTGAAATGGGAATAAAAAAAAAAAACACGCTACTTTCCCACTAAGTTAATTATAATCTCAGAGACTCATCTTTTGTTGGTTTGGATTTATCTCCAACACAGAAGAATTCCTACTTTAGTTCTCTGTTACTCTTTCATTATTTGACAAACACTCGACATTTTATGAACCGAAACTGAAAAACAACACGGGCTTCTGTAGTTCATTTTTTTGAAAAGCAAACCATCTACAGATAATTCTACCAAGCAGTTTTTAATTTATATACTTCACAAACTTTGAATTTATATGTTTCTTTTTGTCTATAACAAAGATAACCTCCTTCAGTTAAATCTCAATTGTTCAAACCAAAGGAATACAATTTTGATGGGAATTCGATATTATGGGCAAACTATCATTGTCTCTTTTTGAACATGAGTTTTAATATAAAAATTGGGGCACTCATCGTCAATCTTTTCTTCTTCCAGCACATTTAAGGGATGCAAAGCACTCCCATTGGTAGCA